ACCCTAGCGCCATTTTGGAGAGTATCCACTGAACGCAAACAGCGTATGTTGTTCTGTGTCAGCCGCGCGGCGCAGCCCACACAGAACAGCATACGCTGTTTGCGTTCAGTGGATACTCTCCAAAATGGCGCTATAGGGTGACGAATTATTGAATAAAGTGTTTTGGGTTTTTTTGTGCACAAGAAGTATTCTCGTAGCTTCGTAAAATTACGGTTGAACCCCTGATGTCACATGGATTATTTTACCGATCTCGTTGCTACGTTTCTGGACGTTGATTGTGCAAGGACCCTTGCTGTCTATGGGAGGGTCAGAGAGTTCTCAGAATGCATCAAAAATATCTTAATTTGTGTTCCGAAGATGAACAGAAGTCCTACGGGTTTGGAACGACATGAGGGTGAGTAATTAATAACCGAATTTTCATTTTTGGTTGAACTAACCCTTTAATGATGCTATGAAGGAGGATGTTCACGGATGAGGTTATGAATACATTTTTTTATTACCTGTTCCTTCCACAGTTATTGAAACAGCGAATAAATTATACAGAGAAAGCAAGCAAAGAACATTTACATTGTCAAAAGAACATTGACTAACTTCAGTCTAGTGCGAGTTTAAGCACTCAAAAAAACTCCTTATAATCAGTAAAGCTGTCTATGCACAGTTTGATGAATGAATCTCTTATTTACATCATACGTACATCTGCACTTTGTTGTTTATGATGAGAGAATTTGCGTGAGAGCTGAATTCAGTCAGCAAGCACGCGCACCGAAACAAAAAAAAACTAATCTGAACGCCTCTGATTGGCCATTGCATTCATAAGCTCAACAGACTCGTGTGTGATTAGTTCTAATGCGTAACACTGTAAAAATGCGTAAAAAGAATCATGGTGCAACATGGAGCAGATCTAAATTTAATGCTGTCGTCAACACACTTTCATTTTCATTTTATTCGCAACAGCCAAAATGGATTTAGTTTAACTGTACAGCAGCATTTATGTCCGTGTGTTGCCATAGTTTCTATAAGCGGAAACTAAGGGTAGTGTGGATATGTCATTGATAGGTGACAATGACCAGGAACGAGCCATTATTTAAAATTATAATTTCTTTGGATTTACAAATCCTTGGGAACTTTTGGGATAACACAAGTACACAACTGCATGAAATATATCACACTGTGCAAGTCGGTTTTGGATATTTTATGATGAAAATCTTACATATTGTGCCTTTAAAGATTTATCAGGTATCCGATGTGTTCTACAGACTGGAGTAAGACCACTTTTGAGTGAAAAGAGCAAGATATACAAGTAAGAAAAAACAGGGTTGGGTGATTCAAACAAACAGGGGAGGCCCAGAGCAGAGCCTCTTACCATATGTACCGTATTCAGCTGGACTGCTTCCAGGGTAAAAGCCTGCAGAGTACTGCTGCGTTGGCTGCATGTAGGGGGTGCGGTACTACAATAGAAAACAAAAAGTCATTAGATGCACGAACAGCCTCACAAAAAATGCACAACTTATCTATTAAAAGAACAATGTGCTACCTGTCCGTGTAGGAAAATGGCATGGCCCTGAGTGTTGGCGAATTGCAACTGTTGCTGGGGAATCATCATAACCTGTGAGGTAGGTTGGTAGACATGAGTGGGTGCAACAGACCGGGGGGTGCTGCTGGGTGGGACCCGAGGGGCACTGCCTTGCATGTTGGGCCGGTTAGGGTAGTACGGCTGTTGATGAAATAAGAGAGATTCAGAAAACAAGTCGCACAAGACCAAACTTCACATGTTGTGTTACTTCTGTACTGTTTCTACATCCTCATCCATGCAAACAGGACTACATTTTCAGCAGCCATTACTCCAGTCACATGATCTTGGAAAGTAGTGTAGACTATATTTTAAGATTAATGGGCCTCATTCATGAAACACGAGCAGAACAAATTTGTGTAAATCGTTCGTAAAGCTGTTCTCACGTACATTTTCGGATTCATGAAAGTGTTCCGTGTTTTCAAAATGTTAGTTGGTAGGAAAGAAATGTACACCTGCTCCTTACCACGTGCAAATCGTGCGTAAACCGTTCTGTGTTCTTTTTGGCAAACTAATGACACTAAATTTTGATGCACTGCCATCATAATATTTTGCAAGGTCATTTGCTTTTTTTTTTTTTTTTGCAGGTGGGGG